TTTTCAAAATAACAAAATTACAACTCCCCCGTATAAAATTGTATAGCAAAAACTCACCATAATAATGATGATAAACAACTGTGGCAGGTGTGTATATATATAGGTGTCGCGAGTGTTGTGTGGCCGCGGTCTTCACTTGGACGACTTGGCCAACTATTAGGTATGTACGGTCGGCGGTACGACACTCGGCAACGAAATCAAAAACCGACCGAATCGGAAAAAATGCACGGCCGTGTGGGGACGGAAACGTTCTCCAAGCGGACGGGCGCGATTCGCAACACACCGTAACGACGCACACACGCAAACAGACACGAAGGTTTACACGCACACGGCGAAGGAAATATTCAAGGGGCGAACGGCAGACGGCGACAACGGTGTAAAATCGAATGAACGACCTACGGAACGGACAAGACCGACGAAGCTGACGCACAAGCTAACTACTACAACCGCCTGCGACTGCGCTGCGGTGTCGACCCCTCGCGCCGCGCCCAACCGCTGACGCGTCAGCCAATGAAAATCCGTGAGTAATTGCGTGCGTGTGTTGTACGCATTTCCATTTATACGAATCATATGTAGTTCGGGACCTACCTGTTTAGCTATTATACCTACTTGACGGTTGAAAACGCACCAATATAGGGTTGCTACAACTGCTACGAAAGTCAACTGCTGTTATCATAATATTACATTGAACATATCACTCCGAATACGACTATTACGAATGTATAATACTCCGAAACTAAATCTAAAATTTGACGACAGTTGATAACGACGGTTATGAAATGCAATAACTCCGAATTAACTCATCTGCATTGACGTAACCTCGCTATGGTATAGCACTAGTGCACCAGTTACTACGTGTAACAATACAAAAAGGTCATGTTAATATAAAATTAAAGGTGATGGGTATGATATGAAAAGAGAATAGCCTAATCAATTAATTTTAATTATTTAGATCACCGAGCCACTGAACTAAATATTATTTTCTCGGACTTCAACCCTTATTTGCTTATCATTTATTAATAGTCGTTACTGCAGCCGTACCCAGGGAAAGGTCCACTTTCTCGGCAAACGGGTCGAGGAAGAATTATAAAAAACCGGTCGGAAATTCACAGGAAATGAGCACTAATTACTGGCGCTAAAAAAATTGTATATAGTTCAATTTATTTAGCGGGTGCATGGGACTGGGGTAACGTTACTGCAATCTTACTATGTATCTGGTATAGGTATAACATAAACCGTATAAATTGGAATAATGAAATCAATAACACGATGACGCGCAGTGGTCTGAATCAATTATTAGGAGAAAAAAATAACAAACTAATAATACCCGTTTTTTAAAATATTTTTGATCATATTATTAATTTGATGTATGGCATTGATGGCTACGATTTTTATTTGTATTTAAATTGTATGTTTTTATTATTAAATAGATTTCGAAAACGTAGGTTCTTGTCAATATTTTGAAATTTAATATTATACATGATTATCATTATTACTAGAAATCAATTTGTCAACTAGACTTAATTCTTGAGAGTTAATGAACCTATTAGTAACTAAATGTAATCAATAACCAACATAGTATAAACTTTACAGAGCATGTTTTACTACAATATAAGTTACCAACATATTTTTTTTTTATATCCATGTGTGTACAATTTTAAGAATTTGTTTGTTATCAGTTGGAACGTTAAATTATGAACATTGAATTAAATTAAAACGGAGCTGTTTTTAATTTTCACAAATCTCGTATATTGCACTTATTATCTATTTAATAGTTGAAAACATCAGCCGTAAAAATTTTAAATAATACAATTGTGCCGTAATTTTTTAAAAAAAAATCGTATTTTTGTTTTGATCTCTTGTCATTTTTCGATTGTAGCAATGTTTTTGGTAGAAAACATGAGTTCCAAAAATAAAATCGGGAATACCTAGGCGCGCCATAAATATTGGCCGTTTACCTATAGTTTTCTTTCGAAGCTTTCATAATTATTTTGAAAACCACATGGAAAATCAAAAAATGACTGGTTTATTGCACCAATTAGACAAAATTCACTTTAAGAAAAAGTGCCATACTCTATACTTTGATGTCTATACTTTGGAGCAAGACTTTTTGTTGAAAAGTTGAAAAAATTAAATTATTGATCTTTTTGTTTATTTATATAAATAAAGCTTAAAGGCAACACTGTGTTTGATGTAACTATCTGTATGTGTAAAGTTTGTCATTCGGGTAACCGTAGCTTTGATTCTCAAGTGAAGTGCTGTGAGGCTAATCGAATGCGTGCTCTAACGATTTACAAACAATATTACATATCCGTCACTCCTTGCACGGCGGTTAAAAAGCAACATTATATACTGTTTTGTATGATAAGTAGTATACTCGTCTGCATTATTACACAAGTAAATTTAAAAAAAAATTAATATTTTAGTGTTATATTCCTAGACATGTAAAATTGTTTTTTCTAACCCCCACAAACAAGACGACAATTATTTTTATTTTTAACCTGTTTAAACATTTTTATGATAATAATATTATATTTTTAAATTCTAAGAAAACAGAATTAGAGTTACCTACTGTTTTACATATTTTTTCAGTAGGTAGAGGTAATATAATGAAAATTATAGGTAGTTATAAACTACTAATATATTTTGAATCACAGTGCATGTGCACAGACAATTAGCTCTAGGAGAAGGATTTGTAGATAATAGTAGGAATTTTCCTAACAAAAATCATGGTGATTTCAACAACATCACTTGTAATAATATGAACAATTTTAGTAATAATTTCCAAAGAGGAAATAATAATAGAATGGTAAAGTGTTATAACTGCGTTAGGGACGATCATATAGCGGCGCAATGCAGAAGTCCGAGGAATAATAATATGAATAATTATAGATTCTCGGGACCTAATAATACATCGATAAATAATTTTACGTGACCCTCGACTGGCTATAATAATAGTTACAATACTACTACTAATAATTTAAATAATCAGTTATGTAATTATTGTAGAAAAAATAATTACGTTGCAGCAGATTGCTACAAAAAATTAAGCGATGAAGCACGGACGGCTCAAAATAATACTAATAATGGAAATTGTGGTCAAAATAACAGTGCGGGAAATAGTTAGGGCTGCGCGATTTTTTTTTTCCACAAAATCGATTATTCCAATAGTACTCGATTATTCCATTATTCAGTTATATTCAATTATTCGGTTATTCGATTAATAGATTAATCGAAATAATCGCGCAGCCCTAGAAATAGTACGGGAAACGCGAACCGTAGAAATATCGAACGATGTTATCATATCAAATCAATAATAGAAAATCGATACATAACTTGTACGTCGCCTCTCACAAAAATCGACCTATAATTTTAAATTTCTTATACACAGGGAGCGAAATTAATATAATCAAGACCAATATGTTGTGTGACGGATTGATAATATAAGGGGATAAAATAATACATCTCAGGCAAATTAACAACGAAATAAATCAAACATACAGGAAAATACATATTATACTTATAACTAGGGCTAGGATTTATATGCAATGAAAAATTGTAAAAAATTGGACTTTATTTACCAAAATGTGTAAAAATATGCAAAATAAATTTGTTTTATTTCTATACATTTAGTCGTTTATTTTGTAACAAAGTTTAAATTTGATAACAAGTTTGGTTTTCTAATGCATTTTTGGTAAATGACTATTTAGATTTAACTTTTAAATTAATATTTGTTGTATGCTTATTTGTATTTAAATGTTGTTTATAAACTATTACTATCTGTTATTAAAACTGCCGAAATCATTAAATATAAATAAATAATAATATTAAATTCTCGTACCTTTACGGGTATAAATAAAATGAAATACTTCTGTAATGTCTCACAATAAAAATATCTACGTCGTTAAATAATGTGTAGATAATTCTATCGGTAGCCCGACCAAGATAAGATTAGATAGGTATAGCATATTTACGATAATTCGAAAAATAACCAAATAATTATCGACGTTCATAAATAAATACCATTTAAAATTAAGGCCTGGTACACACGTGCGTTTTTTTGACGTGCGGCGCTGCAGCGTCTCGATGACCCTAACGGCAACGGTACGATGTGGTGTCGTACAAATCGTATGCGAAGTGTGTTTAGTTGCGAATCAAAATAATTTTTCAATGATGGAAGTGTACAACCGAAAACGGGTGGTATTTGCATATTTAATTTATAAAAACTATTTGTTGAAGAAAAACAGGCGTTACCGGGTGCATCCTGTCACAGACGCAGGGCTTTTGAGATTATTTATTTCCACGACAAATGAAGATTTAAGAAATAACCCAGATAAATGCTTTAATTATTTTAGAATGAGCGTGAAATCTTTTGACGAACTGGCTGCGAGATTGACTCCCAAAATAATGTAAAAGGATACATATGAGTAATACACCAACTGTTAGACCTACTCTTCGATCAACGCGCATTTGGAACTTATTCACTAATTACTTTATATTTGATGTTGGTAGTGTGTCTTGGCAGAGGAATTTTATTTAAGTAATACATTTTACACGACATAAACACGAATATAATATAATGCATTTTGCATAGATACCTAGTATGATGTAGTTTATAGGGGAAAAACATGTAAATGCATATAAATCCTAGCCCTACTGCCTCCACTTATAACGATAAAGGGAAAACAATAGTAATAAAATCTTAAGTAAGTAGTCAATTCGCAATGTCGAATATTATCGAATATTATTAATATTGTAACGGAATATTCTGGCGAGATTTTTAAAAAACAGTAATAATAATACCAAAACTATTAAAACAGCAGACGAAAACGAGTTAATAAATCACGTAGGGACGACCGGGGTTGAAGAAACCGATAACAGGTAGTAGCACGCGCCAGGAAATCAATACAGCTGAACACATCACGCATGAATTAATACAAAGTGTAGAACATGGTCAGGACAATTTAATAAAAAACGTCGGGGGCGTTCAAAATAAACTAATGGACGAATGCGAGGCCAAATTCTTAAATGAAACTGTAGATTTCAACAGAACGACGATGGCAGGTGTTAATAAAGCAATTGCAGGGCCTGCGCACGTAGACAATGACGTGAGCGATAACGCACGCTACGACGAATGTTCGGACACACCACGTCGCAAGACGATAATTTCGATACCTAAAAAAGCGGCGTTAGGTGAATTGCGTCCCTTTTGTAATTTGATACCTGGCGAATCGCGTCCCTGTTGTATATAATAGATAATATTTTAGTCAATTATACGTCAATCATTTCTGTAAAAAAAATTAAAACTATAAAAGACTATTATATATTTTAAACAAGTAAACGTTTAAATGAATCGGCTTTGAATCTGGTCAACAATTTATTATTATATTTAATCATTTTTTCTCGAATATAATTTTCTTATCGACTTACCCTGACGGGATTTTCTTTGTCCATTACTTCGTGTTTTTTTGTAAGTTTCAAACGGAATATTTTTTAAAACATCAATAAAGTTGTGAATATTTGGATAACTAGCGATAAATATATTATTTAATTTGGAGTGAAATGCCTCACAGCTGTTATTGGCTGTCCGATTTGTCGCAAATTCAGCCCAGAAATTTGGAGGGAAACTTGCATCTGTAATAATGTAAGTTTTGAATATTATGTATTCTATGAAATTATTATACATAAAAATAAATCGGAGATGCAATTCACCTACTTGTAAAAAATATCCGGGCCACAATTCACCTAGCTGTGTATAAACATTTTATTTTTGCAACGCAATTCACCGAACCCGATAAAAGCGGCCGACGTAGAACCAGAATAGAAATTATTGGTAAAACGGCAAATATTAACGGGGCGTCAAGGCGTGAAAATCGTAGACCTGACAACACTGATTGTATGTGTTGTTGTTTATGGCAGTTATCTCGAAGATTTGTGCCGCTATTAGTCGTTGTTCGCCGAAGTTTAGATGATAACAAACAAAGTTTTATTATTTTTTTTAATTGATTTTGTAAAATAAATGTGTTAATAAATATATTTACTTAAATGTATTAATAAAATATTGTTTCTGGTACTTTTCTCTCCCTTTCTGGTCTGTTTTCGAATAATTTTAAGTAATTAAAAAATAATTGTAATATTCGATTAATTATGGAAAATGTATACAAATATTCCCACCTAAATATCACCCGTACTGTTTATAGTAATATAGTATAATATACTACGCTTACTTTTAATAAATCGTATAAATATTATATAAATCATAGATATCCACTTTGTAGGTAAAGTCGGTGTCACTGAATTAGCAAGATGGCAGCGGCGTTTGTCAGTAATTGCAGCTCAAACTAGTTACGATGAGTGGTTTCATCATGCCACACGAATTGTTATTGTAATTTTATAAAAATTAACGATCTCGGTTGACCGTGCAAACACTTATTTGTGCCGCCGCCGCCGCCGCCACCATCGTGTCAATTTATCGGACACGGACTGTAAAGTATTTGTTCATTTCGACTGTTCAAAGGTAATTATGATTGGTACGTAATAATATGTATTTATTCTATTGTACCCATATGCCAAGTGACAACGGAAAGCTAAACACAGAATGTAGTGATTACTTAAAAAAAAAAGTTTACTGTAAGACATGTTCGATTACCGAATACAATAAAACCGTAGGTGTTTTTAATTATGTTGATGTAAAACCGATATCTTAATCCTTATGTGGAAACACAAAAATAATATTCTAATTCCTAGATAAACACTAATGACAGTGGTCAGTCGATGCAACAGCCGCGCAACGCTGCTTATGAATAAGGTGGAATTACCCACTGTTCAGATACAATGCTAATTTATTTTGATTTAAACTGGACTAAAATATAGATTACAGTATTTTTTTTATTAACGTTGAATATTCGTGTTTTATGTGCATTATACAATAGTAGTATTTTTCATTGGCACATTTCCGTCAATAAGCATAAGCTTACAGTACTCAAAACACCTTATATTCATTACCTCTGTATTGTATAAAGTTATATACAATTTTATTATTTTTTATCTTCTATAGTTAAGCGATTTGGAAAGTGAAGCGAGCAGGGAACAGAGCCCATATATTTTTTTTATTATACAGTCAATTTTTATTGTGCCCAAAATAATTAACTTGAATTATATCAAAATTTCCTAGAAACTACCATTGTACTCAATAACAGTTTACTCTAATACTGATAATACTGTATACAATTAATAGTTTATAGTTATCTCGCTTATACAATTAACATTTTTACTACAGGAAGAACTGAAAATTGTCCACTGCATTAAGTAGTAAGTACAGCAGTGACATGGCAAAGGTATTATTTTGAAGCAATTGCTTCTTCAAAATTGTTGATGAGTGTGTAGTCCCCCTGCCACAAAATACCTAGCCACATTAGAGACTTTCTATCATAGAAAATAGTAACATACTACGTACCTATACGAATATAGTATATCAGTCTGTCTATGCAGACTCAGTCGGTTACAATGCCTTATTAGCAAAACACAGATAAGCTGGTTAGTTAGAAATAATACAGAGTCCTTGGCTTCCCCATTGCCAACAATATTTTATGCATAATTAAATCTGCATACACTACAACTCAAATCAAGATACAAGATACGGAGTGTAATAAATTAAATAATTAAGTAGGTACATCCGATTTTACAAATCTCTACAAATGTACAGGTGTTTTGTAAATTTTTTATTTTTTGATGTGGTGGAAATTTTGTTAGGATAGATAATTGGGGGGGGGGGCTGGATACTTTGTATACATTTTTGCTCCACACCAAAAATTATTTCAACATGCCACCGAAGTACAGTGATCGTGCATGTACATACATTACAGTGAAATAAAATATAACTAATGTAAATTAAATGTTCTTATGATTTCAGATGAAATTTGTTTAATATTAGTATTAAATCTATGTTATCAAACATTAAGCAATAATATATTTTCATTATTTTATTCCCACATTTAAAAATACTAGATGTTAAATGTCCCAGATTCTGATGAAATAATAATTATTTGATATTAATGTTCATTTAGAGTACTTCATTATGGCTCGAAACTCGAATAATAAAAGGAAGGCCAAAAATACCACATTTACTCTATAAGAGGGTTAATAAAGACGTAATTAAAATCGATGAATGCAATGGTATAAGATATTATACCATTGCATTATTATAAGATATTTTAGTTGGTTTTATTTGAATATTTTGTTAATTTATCATAATATTTCAATTTATTTTTTCTTTATTTCAAGAATTTGTTGGCGGTGTCCAATTATTTACAAATGGATTCCATGAAGGCAACATGTTGTAAGTTCTAAATAGTCACACATATCCTCAAAATTGTATGAGTATTTGGGGTTTAAGCAATCTGTTGAGTTGCCAAGCACTAGTACTAAGTGCCGAATAATACATTAAACAACACTTTAGGTATAAAATATAAGAAACTGTTCTGATTTTTCAGGGAATTATAATATTATTATTATTTTTTTTTTTACAGTGAGTTAATGATGAAATCTTCACATCTTTATTGTTTAATCAATTAGTTCTACTGATCAAGAGGGATGAACTAAGCATTAAATCAGAACGAGAAGTAAGAATACTAAGAATAAAAATTGATCACATTCACTTCAATGTTAATTTTTTTTAAGCATACAAATGCATGGTTCGTTGGATAAATTATGACCTTAATTAAAGGAAAATTAAATTTCCTACACTGTTAAATTTTATAAGGTTACCTACCTTAAGTGTGTCCTTATGTCTTTAGGTTTAAAAATATTAAAAAAAAGCAATGAATATTTACAAACTGAAGTTTGACAGGCGGAGAAGTATACTGGCAAAATTTCAAATAATGCCAAGAAAATCAGCCGGTGTGCATATAGTAATTTATCTTTGTGACTTATTTAATAATTTTCTCTACTAATTAGTCTATTTCTACTCAACAGGTTATTTTAATATGGGAGGGGGTGCTTAGAAGATGAAAACCTTGAAATCGACGAATTCTATGATTCATAAACCGGCACTAGAAATTGATACCATTTCTAGGCAATTAAGGTCTGAAGTGTTCAAAAATGGATGTGTTTGTCATGGAATGCCCTATTACTGATTGTTCAAGTAAAATTGATATGCTCCACTTTTCTTTAACGAGTGGACCCATTTAAAATGTTAATTAAATATACCCAGTTTGGAGTGATTGTATTAAATAATTGTATATACACTGTAAGTTAAAATGGAAATATTTATAATTTAGAATTAATTAAATATATGTCTTACATGATTTCCAAGGTTGGTGGATTAGAACGTGATAATGATTTTAATAGTGCTGAAGTATTTAACTGCAATGCCCAAGAGTGAAAAATGATTTAATATATGTCTACTGGGAGATATAATGCTGGTATTGCTAGTACTCGAGGAGTATGTGATATATAAGTATTTTATATTAATTTTTAAATAGATATATTTAACTTTGTATTAAATTAGATGTAATTTATTTTCATAGGTAGGAGGAAATTGTGGTGATCAATATTTAACATTTGTTGAATATTATAACCCTGATACTGATATGTGGACTTCTGTAATAGATATGCATATAGGTCGTTCAAGAGTTGCTGTAGGAATTTTAAATGGTTTATCATAAGCTGTCGGTGGTTAAGATGAATCAAGGATTCACAAACATATTGGAAGTTAATAACCCAGAAACTGAAGTTTGGTCTTTTTGACCAATATGAATTAGAGCTATTGGGCTGCTAGTAATTATCAATATTATTCTAAAAACCAATTGTTTGTATAAAATATATTTATCTACAATGTTTTTTTTATAGGTGTAACAGCATTAAATGTGTTGCTGTATGTCGTGGACGGTAATTATGTTGTTTCCTCATGATTAGAAATGTACAACCTGCACACTAATGCATAGACAATGAAAACATCCATGGAAACTGGAAGAGATACTTCATTGGTGTTACAGTTATTTAGAAACCTGATAGATTTAATTATTTTTTCTGACCATGTGCCTTCACTAAGATGATTTATTATAAAATACATGTGTGACTTTAATCCTTTATGATTGAGCCAGGGTGTCAGGTAGAGATGTGACGAACTCTTCGATTTTTGTACCGAACTGAAAATTACAAATAATCGAACCAAACCGAATATTCTGTAGTGTGATAGAGCGGCCTTGTTACTAAAAAGATAAATTCTATTTTTTTCTGCATTAGTGGGCCTCATAATCGTAAATTAGGTTTGAGAAATTTGAGAACCTAGGTTTTTGGCCTAATCTAATATAATTGTTTTGCTCTTTTTAATGTTTGAGTTATATATTTTAAAAGTTTGAATAAAGATGTGTAGGTTGGATTCAGTTCGTCCTTAAAAACCAGGGTTCGTGACATATCTAGCGTCAGGCCTATTCAACAAATTATTTCATATTTTAATATTATATTCAGTAGACAAACATTAAATAAGTCCAAGAAATAATTATTTTTTTTTTAAATTCAAAATTTAGTTTTAGAACTGGCTTGTCTGTTTATGCTTTATTGATCATTTTGTTAGAAAAAATATGGATAAAATTAATAAAGCAATTGATATTGATTTGATGACCAAAAAGCATTTGATTCTGTAAATCATGAGTTATTATTTAGAAAATTAGAAAATTCTGGAATACATAAAGTAGCAAATAATCTCTTTAAATCTTTTTTAAGTGGCAAAACTCAAAAGAGTTAAATGTGATGGGCTATGAGCATTACAGTAAAGATCTCAATGTATCTTTTAGAGGACCACAAGGTACTGTATTAGGTACCTTATTATTTATTATTTTTATAAATTTAATGATCTCTTAAAGTTTAAAATTAATCTAAAAACTGAATTATTAAGCTTTGCTGATGTAACAGCTATATTATTATCTGAATTGACAGTTGAGATTTTATATAATAAAATATAAATAATAATAATAAATAAAATATTAAATAATGTTTGGTTTTGTAAAAACAAACTAAAATTGAATTTAATCAAATCTAAATTTATTTATTTTTAACAGTAATATTTAAATCCTTTAACAAAAAATAACCTCTTAGTTCATTTTTTACAATGTAATCATAATCTAAATACAACTTGATGACGGAAATATATTATTATTGAAATATGAAAGAAATAAAATACCTAGGCCTAATTATAGATTATAGGCTCAAATGGTATAGCTATATTAACTACATTAATAATATTTTATGTCAATTTGTCTACTTTTTCAAAGAGGCTATATGTATATTTAACAATTCATATAAAACAATAATTTTTCTTGAATTCGTACAATCGGTTAATTCATATGATATATCTATTTGGAGAGGAGCTTCTAAAACTAATAATATCAAAACTTATTGTTACTATTAATAGTAAAATAAAGTTATTACTAAATCTACCAATGAAAACTAGCATTTCTTTGATGTATAAAGAATTTAAAGTAAAGGATTTTAAGTTTATTTATAATTTATCGGTTCTAGTTGATTTGTATAAATATTCAAATTTAATTCCTCCGTTAGATCATGATGTAGTAAACCCATTTAAACTATATAATTACAAGCAATATTTATTTATAATTACAGGCCAATAACTACGTCAATAATAGAATATCTGATTATCACAGAAGACTTTGACACGCACTATGTACCAATGCTTGTTCCTTATTGCGTCCTTATTCTATTAAATTAACCTTCAGGAATTACGTAGCGTTCGCTGGATCTGTATATATATGTTTCCTGTTGTACACCTATGTCAGAACGGTACAGAACAGTCAAAGTCGCCATCGTCTCTCGTAAAAGACTGGTTCACGTTCAAGCCCTTGGGGACGAACCTCTGTTCCATCTTTTTATTTTCTGTTTTGTTAAATTATATGAGTTGTCAATTAAATTAATTAGTTATATGTATTTATAAATTGTGTTTTACTGTCCATCTCAATCCTCTACCACCAGCACCACGAAGTCTGTCATTAAATAAATTGTATGAGCACAGAGCGTCAGCCCACAAAGATCACAACACCAGATGTAAACAAAATGCCAGTATACTTTTACTCAATTTTACCAAAGTATTTGGTCAAAAAAGTGTGTTATATATATAGGTCTAAATTTAAGTTGTTTATTTAATATCAATATAAATAATTTTAAAAATGTAATATTTTTTTAAAACATAAGATTATTCTAGTTTGTAATCTGTATTAATTTATATAAGATTATCTTTTGTTAGCTAATATGCAAGTGTACAATTTATTATAAAATTTAATTTTTCTTTTTCTGTTTTGTTAATTTAATTTTTTTTTTTTTATTAAAATATCAAAATTAAATTTGATACAGAATTGATTAACTTACCTCCTGTAAGGTTATGCAGCTTGTGTTGGAGATACGGAGATATGATCACTACTAAATCTATATATACATATATAACAAATAAGAACATAGTGTAAATAAATTTCAATTAAAAAAAAAAAATTTTAAGTACATTTTTAAACAACTCTAGAAATATATAAACTAGCTTATTTTCTAAATAACAATATTAAAAGCAAATAAATAAATCAAAAATATGTGCTATAGGTATAGGTACAATAGATAAAAAATAATGAAATAAAATTAGGTTATATTACCGTAAATCTTTGTCCAATTCAAAAAATAAATATTTGCATGTTAAATGTCTAATATTTACAATTTCACTACCAAGTATTTTCTTTTTAAAAGTCATAGGGCATAGAGTTGAAAGAAGTTGGACCCTGATAGTCTACAAAACGCTGACCAAAAGAAGTACTTAAGTACCTACTTGTAGGAGGCACAAACTTTTTTTTGAACAAAATTTAATCCACCAGAATTAGTTGAATTACGTATTTCACGTGTGTTAAATATTTCAAAATGTCAAAGTGACTCAGTAACAGTTATCACTTACTAAATTGTTCACTTCAATAGTTCAATCGGGTTGCTACAACTGCTACGAAAGTCAATTGCTACTATCATATACTACAGCGAACACACATAAATGTCAGCTCCGAATCAATGATAAAAGTTCCGACAAGTAATGGGATTTGCGGTCCTATCGTAAGAACAGTGGGTAAAACTATTTTCGGAAGCTAGCAAAATTGGTATTTGGATATGGAAAATGTTTAATCATACCACTGCATCGATGTTTGTAGGTGGCTGTGTTTGCGACAATAAACGGAGTCTGAAATAATACCTACCATTGTAATAAATAATTGGCTAGGCCGTGACTGGCCTGTTTTTTTTTTTTTTCGGCGTTCGGCTAAATTTTCAAAATAATCCGATCAATGTTTACCGAGTTACGGAATCTTCGGTAGACAGTGAAACACAGAGAGCAGCGAAACTTTTAAGTTTAAGAGGGCCTGCGCGTAACTATTAATTAAGGAGTAAAATTTAGGCAATTTCTATTCGCGTCGACGGTGGCGCCGGGATCTTTGCGTAGTGATCTCAGTCGTAGACTATTGTCATTGTGAGCGAGTTTCTACGCGTGTACCGCCACGGCGACTCCACCACGTTCCCCGTCAACGTAAACCGGTTTACTGTTTATTTTTGCACAAAATGGATTGAAGTTCACCGCCGCCGTAGATCTACCGTTGTCGTAAATTAATTTTCAGCGCGATTGTAATAATATAATATCATTATTCTGACAAAATCGATATCGTAATTAAAATTGGTAAATTTTACCATGATTATTATAGTTATCTGTTAATCCCCCGAACGAGACGTTGACTTTTGGATTGCTTAAATGGAAGTTCATTCGGTACATTTTTACAAAAAAAAATTATTTACCGACTGAAATAGTGCAATCCAAAATAATAACGCAAAACGTTCTAATTAATTTGAACATAAATTATTTTACTTGTTTTCACTCATTATTATTAATTTATATTTTTGGTAAGTATGATTATTTCATTTTTTTGTGATTCGGAACGTGGCAAGGAATCTATTGGTTTTACTATGATGCGTATACCTATATTTGTTTTTAATTATGCGAAAAACCTTTCTACCGGAAAAATTGCTCTTTTCTTCTAATTCGAAAATAACCAGATATTTTCTCATAATATTAAGCCACTAATAGAATAAGTCGTTTTCTGATAAAACCAAAATAGACAAAATATATACGACTTGTTTCCAAATTATCTACGGCACAACAAATTTATTATTTAAAATTTGTAGGGCTTATGTTTTCTACCATAAATATTGCTCCAATAGATATACAATAGATGTACGACAAGAGACCTTTTTTATTGAATTTTTAATCTTGTTCATTAGTAGGTCATTCGTCTTTTTGATTTTCTTTATAGTTTTATAAATAATTGAGCATAATAAAGAAAAAAAAAAGATATAACGGAAAAATTTACGAAAATTTAGAATCTTTAGTATAATTCAGTTTAAAATATTCGTAGAGACTTAAAATGTTGACAGAAAACTTATATTTACTTTTTCTTGACGTGATAAAACTTTTAGAAAATTTGAACAATTGTTAAGCTATTTATAGGTATTTAAATTTTACTCATTTTTTAGGTAAATTTTATTTGGTAGGTAATCTGTAGATAAATTGTTAGACTTAATAAAAATACTTGAAAATTTTGATAGGAGATTCATTATAAGTCGTACTTCGAGATCAAAAAAAAAATTTAGTTTAATGTAGGAGGTAGGTACTAATTATTTTTTTTATATGCGTTCAAATCAGATTTTGACGAAAAATGTAAATATTACGGCCTTTCAATAAATGTATAACCGAATTTCGCTCCATTTCTAATTAATTAGAAATAAAAAAAAATCACTTGTCATTTTTCGACAGATATAATAGGATATCTCTGTTAATAATTAAGCAAAAAAAAACAAAATGCCAAATATGTAAAAATGCATTTCATAAGTACGACATGTACAAAATATTATTCTGAAGTTGATCTAATTAATATTAAAACAAAAGGAAAACTAACATTACCAAACATGTAATTTTATAAATTGATAAGTGAAGTAGTAGATTGTTTTATGGAATATATTAACCGTACAGATGTATATGAAAAAACAGTAGATAGCTTAATCGACCATTTTCAAAGGTTTCAGTTCCCTTGTCCAGAGTATACATATGACACTCTCGCATTCTCAATAAAATACTATTTGAATATGCAAATGAAGTAGCGGTCAAGGTATGAAAACCGAGTAACTATCAAAACGAATACTAAAAAGAAAAAAACTATCTAAATTTTGATTAAACAAATTTTATTTTATAACTATATCTTAGTAGGTATACTAATTTTTATTTTACATTTTACCTGTATTGTATACAAAAGTTCTACAACAAAAGTATTTATTAAGTAATTAAGTAGAAACTAAGTACCTATAAGTTACAAACAAATTATTTATATATTTACATTATATATTATTATTTGTTATTATTTTAAGACCATTATTTATATAATATTATAATTGAAATTATTATGTAATTATAAATAGTGTAAATAATAATTGATGTGCTTAGTGTACCATTTAAACGATAAACATAATAACGAGCATTGGATTTAATATTAAACCACTAGAGCGCAGCAGAACGCTATAATCCGGATTTTTAGTATGATATCGATCATAGTTTTTTGTATAGATAACTCGTGAGTCCTATAGGCAGATTCGAATAAAATATTTTTTTATCAAAATATTTTCGTACCTTATATTATTCTGATAATATATTTTGTCATAAAATATTTTTCTGTACAAATACTGATCGGATAAAATATTTTTCTTCTAAAATACGGTTGGACGTATATATTTTTCGGATTATTTATTTTTCTGATAAAATACAATTTTAACAAAATATTTTCGTACTTTATACGCTTCCCCATACTCAATTTGGTCAATGGATTGTTTATCATTTTAAATCTATTATCTATGGTGATATCGTGCGAAAACAATGAAAACTCGCATTATCAATATACTTCGATAAGAAACATTGTTGATTATAATTTATGAAAATATAATAATTTAGTCATGATTAATTATTAAATAACTTTTTAAAAACTTTCATCGGATATCGATGTTAAACAGCAATACTTTTTATATTCTTGTGTACCATTAGTCTATGTTCAGTTTAAATCTATTGTTGTTGTATATTTGTTCACAGTTTACATAACGTGTTTGATAACTGCATTTTACAATAACGCTTTAATAGTTTGTTTTAATAGTGAATAATTAATATATTACAACAATATGTGCACCAATAAAGAACAGAAAACGAACAGGAATAAGCATTTTTCAGGCTGTGAAAATCAGTTCTTAATAATAATTGATTTGGCCTGTATAACATGGCCTGCCTAAATTTGTTTTATTACTATTAAAGTCACCTACCTACCATATCTCAATGTATTGTTTTTAAATTTATTGATACTTAGTGACTTGGCACTGAGACAATGGCCAAATCTACATTAATATCCAATGGTATAATCTTTAATGAAAATAATCACTTCAGAGAAAAATGTAAAATGTTGAAGAAAATTATAAAACACAACGTTTTTGTTAGTTTATTAAATATTGATAAAAGGACGCCACATCATTATTTGTCTACTTAACTAGTAACCTCAATGGGTGTAGAAAAAAAATTGTATTTTTAAGTTTCAATGTTAATTTGGCTCTTATATACTTATAATGAATTTTCACCAAATTAAATACAATAACATTTAATATATTTATGCAGAGAAATGTTATTGATATATAACTTTTATATAATTAGACCATCCATGAAATTTAAATTTAAAACTGATTAATGAAAATCCAAAAAAATCACTGTAAAAATATTGTAAATGTCTTTAATTTGGTGAAAATTTGGTATAAGTACTATAGCTAGAATACTGTTTAAATGCAAATACAATTTTTTATTTTATTGCTAGTTAGAAAGACAGGTGAATACTGCTCGTGGCGTCCATCTCAAGTATTATACATTTATTATCTGTTAATTGATAATATCGCTTATAAATTAACTTTCAAGGAAAATGCTGCAATTTGTGATGAAATATCAGATACCCAAGAACGATTAATAATCACACGAGAAGAATGCAAGTTCTTAACAAAAAAATTGAAGTTATTTGAGCCTGAAAATGGTAAGTAAATTTTATACAAATACATAGCAGATATTTAATTCATAATTGTTTTTTTTTATTGGGGTTATTTTGAAGAATACTTAATGTTATGTAGTACAGCTTTTTTTTCTTATTTAAGTTAGTAGTGCAAATGTGCTATGGTTAATTTTTTAAACATATATGTATGTTAATTATATCTTTTTACATTTCATATTTTAGGATTTAAAATAATAATCATTACAAATTATACTAATCAGAAATCTTTAACAAAATTTTATTTTGCTTTATTGTGCGTATTTGACCCCAATAGAATTTTTTTAAATATTTCATCGAAAATTAAGAACTAATATGCAATAATTTGTCAATCATCACTGTAGCAACAATATTATAGTTTCATTAAGATTTCCTAAGAAATAATAAAAGTACCATTTATTTAATAATTCATTTTAATAATAAATGATAAAATGTATTTTATTGTATGTAGCCAATACCTATTAAAATGTTAAATTATAATTAAATATTTTAGTACTTTTTAGTGTATATAAATCAGTAATCCAGTTATAACTTATTTTTTTAATGCAGTTAAAATTACTTTTTTGTATTTTAATATGGCTAATGGAGGGGGTGGGGGTGAGCTGAAGTAATTGAAGTCCCTTAACCATGCTCCTGTGCATGCCACTGAATGTTTATATCACCTGTATGGAAAATACATAAGTAAATAATAGTTTAACAAACTTGAATGCTAACTTTAATCTAATTGTTCTAATTATGCTTTTTGTTGAACTCATTTATACAGTTTTAAATAATTATTAGAATTCACTTTCATTATTGCACTAATATAGATACATATTAAATCATTTTCAACAAAAAGTTTAGTAATATTATAAATAATAGCTTAAATATCTTCATTTGTTTACAATATTAATTTTTCAGGGATCCCTGGTAGAATGAATGTCGGTCCACCCAAAGTCAAAAAACCCACTGCAAGAAAAAAAGCGAAAATTAATGGTATTTATATATTTTTTATAATTTTTTTTATATTATTTTAGTTAGGTACCTAAAATAATAATGTACCAACATGTACCATATTTTCAATATTTGTAATTTTAAAAAACTAGACCAACTATTTAATTTTAAAAATTGTAAAGTTAATAGATAACATTATTCATGAATTATGCTTATAATTAAATTATATCATCATAATTATATATATTGTATGTTATACTGAGTCTTTTTTTTTATTATGAACCAGCAATTTTCTCAGAGGATTTTAAATGAATATGATTTCTTTTTTTTATTTAATCATGTAATCGGTTAAGCCTTTAAAACAATTTTGAATATTTCTCTCCTACTTCATACACTTTAAATAAGTATATACTTTTATTTTTCAAGTAGGAACCCCCACTTTTTTGTAACACAGATTTAAATAGAGAATATTATTTTGGAAATGTTGATATGCCTAATACTAATATCAGATTTACTGTTTAAAGTTCAGACTGGAGGAGTAGAATATAGTGCAATCATGCAATTTATTACTCTTCCCTACTCCTTTGAAAAATTCAAAATGGTTTAAAATTAAGCTTAAATGATTCTATAATAATAATAATAAAAAAATAAACAGTTATCAAATTCACTCAAAATCCTCAGAGAAAAATGATGATTAATGATAAAAAATTACGCTGTATAATTATAATTACCATTAATAATAATTATTAATTAATTATAATAATCTTGGTTTACATAAAATTGACTAAAAGTGTCTTAATACAATTTTTCCATGGAATACATGGAAAATCACTTTCATTGGTTTATTAGAAAAATTATGAAATTATATTATATTTTTTAAACAATAATAATTTAGTCCATTTTCATGTAATATAATATTGATGATTTTTCAGGTACTCCCGGTATAATAAATGTCTGTCTGAATAAAGTAAAAAAATCTACTCCAAGAAAAAAAGGAAATGTTAATGGTATTTATATTTTTTGTCAATTATTTATTTATATATTTATACATACTCGCGCACAAAATATAATGATTAATATTTTTTTAGACTACATGCAATTTTAATATTATTAGAGTTACAATTAAATATAGATATCAACACCTGGAGAACATTAAGTTACTAGCTGGGGAATGAAGAATACAGTTATTGTGATAGTTCAAAACTTTGAAGGTGTCTTTATTTCTTCTATATTTTCAAGTTGTTATTCTAATATTTAAGGACAATATATTTTTTATTTACTAATTTATGTAGAAAGAAAGATTTAGATATTTTCTATGATCTTTTAATGTTGATATTTAAAAAAAAAATAATCTAAAATCTTATTATAACAATTTGAGTCTTTTTGAACTGAATATTTGTACATCAAAAACCAAAACAAAACACTTTGAATCAATTCTAAAGAGTTTGTAGATTAGTGTAATTAATTGTGTACAATTATAGTTTGTAGTAGTATAAAGAGACCATAGGAGAGATGCATATTTAATTGAAATAAATAGAGAAATACTTTTCAAGGAAAGATGATTTTTAAAATCAAATATTGTTTAACAAAGCTTAGTTTTGATAAAGCTTGGTTTCTTATCTTATAAATATATTCATTAAAAGTCAATTTTGACTTAAATCTGACACCTAAATCATTGACTGAAGATGTGAGATTTATCAAAAAATTATTTAATTTGTATTCTGTAAAAATTAAATTTTGTTTTTGAGAGAATGTTAGATGAATATTTGTTAATATTACACATATTCCAATACTATATCAGTTACAAAAGTTAGTTAAATCTATTTGCAAATTACTAACATCTAATATAGAGTTATATTTTTATACATTTTTGTGTCATCTACAAGAACTAAAATATTTGAATGCTTTAACACAGAAGTGATGCCATTGATATTTAATAGAAATAGTAAAGGTGATAAGTGGTCACCTTGAGGTACACCAGAAGGAACTAATAGGATTAAATAAAATGTTAACATATTTAATTTAACTTATTTGACATTTAATAAAAAGGAAGATATCTAATGAATTCATGAATTCCATACTTATGTAGTTACATAATTCACAACTTATGATCTATCAAGGCTTTTTAAAGTCTGTGTATAGTCCCTATCATAGATTAGATGTACATTTGTACTGGCATAAAGTGTGATTTGATGAAAAATGTAAATTTTAATATTCTGAATAGGATCATAGTTTGTATTGAACATGGAAAATTTCAAAAGTGTATCTAGTGTCTGAAAATGGTACTTTTAATGGATGGTTTTAATTTGATGAACAAAAATCTTTTATAGGTTATATGTTGTGTTCAAGTTTATCAAAAATAATTTTTAATATATTAATATCAGATTTTATTGAGGTAGATTCTAGTACTTTTTCTGAAAGATTAAATAAATAGGTTTTGGGATCTAGACTGCCTTTTCATCTTGTTTGGATAATTTAGGAGATAGAGAAGTATTTGTTCTATTCTAATTTTCTTTTTAAGATAAGTAACTTTGTAGTTATTTAGTGAATTTTTGGTTGATAATTTCTTCAATTTCTCCGTCAGAACTACCAATATCTTTAAATGATTTGTTTTATGCATTAACAGAGTTAATAATTTTACTATTTTACTTTGGGTATTTTTGAAATCATTTAATGATTTTTCAATGTAATCTAAATGGGAATCCTTAATAATGTATACAAATGCTGAAAACTGATAATGAGACACAAACACTGTATGCAATATTATAAACACAAAATTATGTCTTACTATAACAAATACTAAAGTCTGACTGTGCTGAATGATGCTAATCATGCTATTATATTAGCTTTTAAAATTAGTTTATATGCAATAGTCTTAATACACATTAAAAAGAAATGACCTTTGATGTTTTACTTGTTAACCTTTGAAACCATTTATTTTTTATTATAATCAACAACAATTTTATCTTTATTGATAATGAATATAATATTTCTGTATAATTAATATATTGATTTTTCAGGTACCTCTAGTAAATCTAGTGTCAATCCGGTTTTGAATATAATTAAAAAATCTGCTCAGAAAAAAAAAGGAAATATAAATGGTATGTAATATTTATACATGATACATATATATAATATTTATAATTTTTGTTGTATAAATTTTAAATGTATTCTTTGTTATTTATACTTTTATTTCTAAACTCTATTTTTCTTTCTGTCCATCACTATTTCTTTATTTAGTCCACATCTTTCTTAATAACCTCCAGTTATTTTTTATCCTATTTTCTTCCCTGGCTTAACTTACACACTTCCTTGACTGTTTTATCAATTTCCCTTATTCTATCAACTGATCCATACTATTTCAGTCTATTAGGTTTCTTCTGCTATATCCATTATTCAAAATTACATCATGTATATTCATTTCCAATCAGGTTTTGAAATATTCTTAGTATAAATAATATTGTATTAAGCAATACTCAGCAAAATCACTTTCATTATTTTATTACTATTATACCTATACAATGAAATATGTTTAACAAACAACAAGTGTATGCCTATTATTATAATAATAATAATATAATATGATATGATATACATTTTTCAGACATCCCAAGTACAATAACCACTAATCCAACTATAGTCAAAAAATCTTCTCCGATAAAGAAAGGAAATAATAATGGTATTGAAATAATTTATATAAATATGTTTATAGTTATAGCATTTTAAAAATTTCCTGTTTTAAATTGATTTGTAACTATTAATTAAGTTTATATACAAAAATATATTTATATAAAATATGTGTATATAAAACAAATTGGAATGTTATTAATTAACATTAATCATGAATTATGCTCATTAATGAACTATGAAAGCATTGAAATTATTTATGTTTATACAAAATTGACTTTCAATGTCTTAAGAGATATCACCACCACTTCCCTCTGTTTCTATTATTTTAGTTTTACTAATGCATCTAATTGAACATGGCAAAATAACATTACCTCAAACATACATTTTGGCGGTTAAGTTGAAATAAAAATAACAAAATTTAAGAGGAGAATATTTTCACTGACTACATAGAATTTTTCTAAAAAATTGCATCTAATTAAATAAATTAAAAATTAATATGACAATATTTTTTTGTACAATTTTTTTTTTTAAGAAAGAAGTTAGTTAAAATTTTGTTATATGTATTTAAACTCAAATTTAAGCCTAAACACTATAATTTATATTTAAAGTAATTTTAGTTATGTTGTGTTGCCTGATAGTTTACTGAATAGACATGCATTGGTGTCCTCCATATGATTATTTTTATATATAATATATAATTTTGACTTTTCAGGCAACTCTAGTAAAATAAATGTCAATTCAACTACAGCGAAAAAATCTGTTCCCATTAAAAAAGGAAATAATAAAGGTATTTTACATTAATTTATATTTTTTTTTTAATAATTTCTTGGTCTATTTTTAAATAAATTATTTGCTTAAATGTTATGTCTAGTTATTACAATTTCAAATATTTGCTGTTTTAAATTAAGCTATTATTATTTCAAAATATAGCATGGTAAAGTTATTTGGTTACATTCATATCCATGAAATATTATTATCAAACTATAATAGAGTTTTTAATTATCTTAATATTTATTAAAATTCCATCTTCAGCGTTTAAGTTGTATAAACATGTCCTATAAGATAATATTTTAGTATTTTATTTTAAATAACACCAACAAGTTTGTATTTAAAAATAATACATAAGATAATATTTTAAACTGACTATTATTAATATTACTATAATGATTTTTTAGTTATTCCTGCTATAGAAAATGCCAATCCCAAAACTACAGTCAAGAAATCTGCCCCAAGAAAAAAAGGAACTACGAATGGTATTTATGTTTTGTAATATTTTAAATTGATTATTTGTTTTTAAGTATATGTTTCAAGTTGTACTATTTTAAATATTAAGATATTCTACATATCTTATATCTTATCTACATATCAGTCTGTTCAATGTAGTAACATTTATCATACATGATGTTAATTGTTAAACTCCAATAGCTTCTAACTTGACTAATATTATTTTTTTTTAAATAATAATTATTTGGCCATAATATTATGATAATTTCATGTAATACTTTGATTTTTCAGGTATGCTTAGTACAGTTAATACCAGTATGACTAAAGCCAAACAATCTACTCCAAGAAAAAAAGGAAATGTTAATGGTATTTATATTTATTAATAATTCTTTTTATATTTTAAGTAATTATTTGTCTCAATAATATGTTTCTTTTTATAGAATTTTAAATTAGACATACTATTTTGTTAAATAATAATTTACTTGCATTTTTTATTCTTAAACAGTTATTTTCCTTTTTAAATTTTTCTATTCATATTTAAACTATCAGCCTAACTGTTTTAAATTATCTTAACAAGGTGAAACTCAAAATTTAATTTTGCATAATATATTTTATTACTAATATCTGTCAGTTTATTGAAAATAGTTTTCAAAATCAACACAAAGTAAAAAGAGGACAGACATACTTTGCATGTTGGTGCAGTTACTGTTGTAGGTAGGAATTTGGAAAGGTAGGATACAAAGGGGAAATTAAAATATATCTGTAAGCATTGATAAACCATTGCTAACTTAGTGGAGTTCAGTTGATAGTGTTACTTTGTGAATAATATATATTATGTTATATTCTGGTAAAATTATTACAACAATGTGTGTTTTCATGACAAGAATATTTGTTTAAAAAATATTAAAATAATAAATACTTAATAACAAAAAAATAAATAAAAAACAGTTGCCAATGACAACCTTAGTTTTAATCTTTCAATCTTTTTTAACCTAAAAACAGATTTTCCTTATTATCTTAAATATTTATGAGAATTTCAAAAAATACCTTTTTTAAAGTACCACCTAAAGAAAATTTGTGTTTAGAAAAGGTGATAAACTTGATAATCGGAGTAAGCTTTCTAGTAGAAAAATGTTCACATAAAAAAATAATAAATAAACATCACTGTAAAACCAATACATTCTTCCCTAAACTCTGAATCTAAAATTAGAGTACATTTTATAGAAATGTCAATTCATATTGACATGGCGGTTCTTGTATGAAAATTGTAGAATAATTGAATATGGCTTGCCTGGCAATTGCTCTACTAATATCAGGGACTTGACTTTTAACTGTTTATGTTAGACTTATATCATGAATTTGAGAGGATGTTTTTGTGATGGTGTGTATGATTGAAGATACCATGGGTCATTGGGGATAGGGTTATATCAACTAAGGTGTTTACTACTTAAACTTATATTTGTTTACAGGTATAAATAAACCAAAACGCCCACCTGCTAATCGCTCACCTGCTAGTCGTAAAAAGATTTCTCAACAAATACCTAAACCAGTAATTGTTGGAGAGGTTACTATTTTCAATTTTGGACAAGTGAGTTACTTTTAAAATTCGTCATAATTATAATTAAAAATTAATTTAATATTTCAAAATTAAACATTTTATTTATTTTATTTTATTTTATTTTATAAACTTTAAAAGTTATAGTTTATTTTTTTATTGTTCATCTTAGATTATTTATGATTCACCAAGTTACTATTCAGACTGTGCCATATATTCGGTTGGTTACTATGCTACGAGAACGTATGCACATTTCAGAAATATATATTCCAAATGTACTTATCATTGTAAAGTACTTAAAGGTGGTCCTTCTCCAAGGTCAGAAACAATATTTTATTTAGTCAGTTAAATATTATATAATTAAATTACATTTTTTTTTTAAATTTAGATTTGAAATCATGGATCATGATAAACATTTTAAAGTCACTGGATTAAGTACAAATGAATGCCATAATCATTTATTATCATTAATTAATAAAATGCTGGTTACTGATGACCTATTATTTGAAACTGACAATGGTGATAGATTTTTTGGATTAACATTGCCTTTAGTGCGTCATAGGCTTCAGGAAAAGCCAGAATCGAAATTTTGTACAGGTTACATTCCACTTCAAACAAAGGTACAAATCAAATATTAAAAGTTGATTATTGATTATTATATGATTTTATTAAAATATGTATTAAAAACATCACATTAGAGCAGCATTTCCTAACTGGTGTGTTGAAGTAGGTGGGTCAGAAATATCATGATTATACATTTTTAAATTAGTAAAGTAAAGTAAATTTTTATTCACAATTTTGGTTATAAAAATATTTGTAACAATTTTCATATCAGCAATTACTTTACTTATATTATCATGAATTATTAATAGATAGTAGAATAAAAATTATTTTCGTTTACTATTTCTTATTTAAATTGTATTATTTCTTTGGTGTTTGTTAGTCATCTATTGTGAAGTAAATTTATTATAATATTATTCTAGTGTTTTTATTGAAAAGGAAGTTTAAAAGAATTGCATAATGGTTCTTTTTTAAGTAAGAAGTTGTCTGTCTTGGTGAAGAAATGACCATAACTCAATGCCTTATTTGTAGTGAAAAACTGTCTAGTGATACTATGGTATTAAGTAAATTAAAAAGACACCTACTTATAATTGAAGAACTTACTTTTACTGTTGAAGAGCTTCTTTATTATTTCCAAAAGTAAGCCTCAAATTAAAACAGTCAGGTTTCAAAGTTAAAAACAATTAACTATATATGATAAAGCACAAGAAACTATGCTGTGACTGAACTGATAGCAAAACAAAATAATAATAATAAATAAATAAATAAAATTCCATAGGATAGCTGAGTCAACCATTTTACCAGTATGATGTTAAATTGTTAAAATTATGTTTGGTGAAGATTTTGAAAAGAAGTTAAGAAAATTTCACTAATCTAATAATACTGTATGTATTAAAGACATATCTAAAGATGTTGAATCCCAGGTAAATGAAAACTTTTAAGTAACTGAATTGTTTTCCTATCAATTAAATGAGTTTACAGATAAAATAAGAAATCCTCTGGTTGTAACAATATTTATTTGTGATACAGAATTGATGGAGCATTGTTTATTTTACAAAGGGTTTTCTAAATTTAAAAAAAGACAAGACATTTTAAATTTGGTTAGCAATTATTTCACAACTACCAATTTTTCATTGCAATATTGTTTGAATGATTACGTAGATGGATGCCCTGTAATGATTGGTTATCAGACAAGTTTTTGATGTTAGTTTAGAAAGAAAAGCCAGATTTTATATTCACTGATTGTTTCATTCACAGAGAAGTTCTTTTTACTAAATTGTTGGTGTCTAAGCTTAATGAGTTATTGCAAACTATTGTCAAAATGGTAAACTTCATTAAAAGTAAACCTTTGAAATCAAGATAATTTAATTTTTTCGTTCTGCTATGTACAGTGAGCACACTAGCTTTTGTTTCACATAGAAGTGAGATGGCTATCCCCTGGAATGGCTTACTTTAGGACTTATTCTAGGGAAATAATAATCCTCTTTTCCTAGCAAAATTTATTTTTTTTTTTTTTTTATTATTTATTGTCCCAAGACCTAGATGATAAAAAAAATTAATTTTTTTAATTTTATAGTTCAAATTACATTCATTCATCTTATACATTTTTCAAACTATTCTCCAATAGGATTCAAACATGTTTATACCCTTTGTAGACTTTCCCTATTTGTTGTAGTTGAAATTTTCCCTTCAGTAAGTTGAATATACACCACATTTATTTTATCTTTCAAATGCATAAGACTGGTTGGTGGGTCTGCACAGTTTTTAGATATTTCCACAAAAAGTAATCTAATGGTGTAAGATCTGAAAAGATATCTTACAAGGAGTAGCCATTTTATCATTCCATTAGTCCTTATCCAACGATTTTCAAAGTTTTCGTTCAAATTATTCCTCAGGAAACTATTGCATTATGTACTTATCATTTATTGATTATTTTAAAATATCCAATAATAGAAATAAATTGATATGTTTGAAGATTATTTGTAAATCAAAACTAATTTGTGAATAATACAAAAATATCAAAAAAACAATTTCAATTTATATCAAACATTTAAATATTCACAGCTCGTAAATTTTTTTAACATATGAAGTTGATTCGACCTTAAAGTTCAAAAAAATATTAGGGTAAAAATAGTTGCCCAAAAATGGGGAGGATTGCCATTTAAAAATATAGTTCTTATGCACAAATTCAAATTTTAATGTTATAAAAATTGTTTCATTAGTTTAATAAGTGTATAACGAAAAAGGCAGAATTTAATACATTTAATTTGTGCAGAGTTATAGAGTATTTCTAACTACCCATAACACACTGTATATAATATAAATGTGAAATTTTAACATAATGTCAATTTCAAAAACTACTGGACCAATTTTTACTTGGTTTTTTGCAATACGATTTGTGTATAAGTGCCATGGTTAAATGAAGTAGCAGTACTATTGTTGACCAAGAATTTATTAAAAGAGACATCAAATTTTGGGCAAGAGATGATACCCTTCAGTGTGTCAATGAAACACATTGAGCATATGATGTTCTGCAATACCCATTGATTTATGATGTTCTGCAATACCCATTGATTTTTTTCACTTAATATACTGATACAGGCAAAGCAAAAACTGAATAAAGATAAAAACAATAAAAAGTCAATATGGACCTAAAATTATTATTAGCTAATTATTATTATTTATAGCTTAAAATTATTTAGTAACTCAGGCAATATGGGCAGATCAGCTAGTATATATATTTAAATGTAAGTTGAGATTAGTTTGATGTGAGGGTAAAAAGGTTGGGAACTGCTGCATTAGAGAAATGGCAAAATGTATAGATTTAAAAAAATTATCACTGCATTTATATAAATCATATAAATTTATTATCTATCTGTTTTACTCAAATTATATGTATCTGTATTAAACATTTTTATCTGTAAATTTTCACTCAAAGTACTTCATCAATATTTTTTTTTTTTTACTAGGTTGATATCCAAGCAGAAATAGCAGCTGAAAATGACCCTTCTATGAGCTTTGAGGGTTTACACGCCTGGTTAAGCCAGTATCCAACTTCACATTAAGATTTTTATAGAAACACAAACTATGTAATAGTTTTAATGATTATTATGAGTTTAATACTTAGTGCACAATAATAATTTTTTTTTATTATAAAAAAAAGACCTCGAAAAGGTCATTGGCCCAATAATAATTTGTTGCATAGTATTTGACATATTTTGAATTATTAAATTATTCACTATGATTTTTGGCATTAAACCATAAGTTTTTTAAAATTCATAAAAAAATGTTATCATATAATTACATAATATCTGTATATGTATAATCCTTCCTCCCTCTACCTTACTCAAATCTTTTCAAACTGTAATTACACATTTTTTTATTAAACACTTGGTGAAATTCGAACAATATTATAGAAAACCAAATTTTGAGTTAATAAGCTTAAAAGTACTGACTAATCCACTGATTCTCCATTATTACTTGTCTGATTTGATGATGTAGATGGCCCCCTTTTAACAAATCTGAGAGACTACTAACATTATTGATAAAAATACCTTAAAGGATAAGTTGCTCTTATAATAGCCCCTTTGAGGGCTTTCCAATATCAGTGAATTAAGACTATAAAGTCAATTTAGATAATTTATCACCCTACTATATCATTATTATTCATGCTATTATAAATATATATGTTTTTTGTCTAATTTAAAGCACCACACATATGCATATTGTATTTTTCAAATTGGTCTATACTCTATATGTATTTAAAACAACTTAATTAATTACTTAATTTAAGTTAACTGAACCAACTTTCATTTTTTGTACAGCTCTTTAATTTTCATATTGTGAGTTCATATTGTTTTCAATTTGTGAGTTAGGAGTTTGCTGTGTAATTTTAGTTATATACAATCAAAAAAGATATACAGTGGATTCCACTTAATGTGGCAGACAGCCGCCTAATATGGGCATAATAGTTTGGTCCCAATTCTATTGTGTAATGATACTCATTTCATTTAAAATGGGCAACCGTTTAATGAGATAAATGTAACTGGTGCCCAATGTGCCCACATTTAGCCGAATCTACTGCATGTTCATTTATACTTTACATATGTACCCCTACATTAAATTTAGTATATTTTTATATTTTACAAAAAAAAATTTTACGGGGACTTTCTGTTTTCTGGTTTAATGTTATAATACTTATTTCTTTGAATAAGGTACATAACAACACACATAGGTAAATTATTATTCAATAATTAGATATAGTTTACTTGATGGTGCTTTTACTGATTAATGTATTGTAATAACTAATAGGTATTGTACAAAATTATCTTTACCTTAGCACTTATTACATTTTAGGATTTTACTTGAGTTTTTATTATTGTCTGCAAATTTTGCTTTTTTTATACTAATATTGCGTACTGAAAGGTACTTGTTTTAACTTGACTTTAATGAAACATATTGTATTTTTATTGTAAAACTAGTATTTTAATTTTAAATTATAGTTATTGTTTTAAGTTGTTGTGTATGTACATTTTTTTTAATATATATATCAATCCTTAATATAAATAGAAGAATTAGTCGCTTTATACACTATACATGTCCTCCAGTTTATCCTTATGCTAATAATTTTGTTAGTATTCATTTTTAATTTTTCAGTCGGTTTTTTTTTTGCGGGGCCACATATGTAGAGAAAAATTAAATTTTTATTATCATTTCTTAAACACTTCAAAATTGTAAAAATAACCATTTTGTAAAATATATTGTTCAAAAGATTTAATGTAACATACATTTTTCAATGGTTAAGAGATGAAAATAAAAAATTAAATTTTCTCTACATATATGTCCAGAGTCATTAGCATATCGATAATACTGTAGGATACCTGTATAAAAAAGAATGAGAAGAATATTGTTATTTCAAAAAAATCTAAAGTCAATACTTTTTCTCTAATTTATCCGTGTGTATACTGTATACTTAACTCAAGTATCTACTAATATAATTAGTTATGCTACATAATAGTTAATACCTATGTATTTCACAAGTATTAACTAAAACTAATATTACATAATAATATGTATTTGAAATAATACAAATTTAAAATTTTTTAAGCACTTTTAATTAAGGTTTTATTAATTTAAAAATTTCAATTAATATTAGTAGTAAATGTTAGCAATTTAACTCATATTGAGCATAATTTAATTTGTTTTTAAGTTTGTATTACATGTATCGTACATACATAGTATTCATATATTAGTTGTGTTCCCTTTAAAATTAAACTTTTGATAGGGCATACTACATATATTTCATACTATAAAATTTGTTGGTGTTGAATCTACACTAAAGTGTAAAATCTGTGTAAAAAGTTTACATTTTTTGTTAAAATTAACCATGCTATTATTATGTATGTAAGGAATGTAAGGTCTCCTATGTCTTTATTGGCTTTAGTTATAGATAATATAATTTAATTATTTACTAAATTATTATTTATGATAGGTATGCAACTATAGAATACACATTTGTTTAAAAATCTAGGTTAAATGTTTTAAAATTTAAATTGTCGGAATTGTAATTCAATAAATGATTATTTTTACCGTTTTTAAATTCTGTATTATATTTTATTACCTATATACCATTTCAACTATAGATGATATCGGGTACATAACAGTATGTTGAAAATTATAACTTAAAAATAACAGTTTACTTAATTATAAGTCATAAAATATGACGACTATTTTTGTTGTTTTTTTTTTTTTTAAGTTAAATACACAATGTGTACATACATAAACACTACAAACACCGCTGAACGGCAAAGCAGGTAGGCCTATGACAAAAACTATTGATGGCCAAAATTATTATATTTCTTTTTTCGGGAATACGAACCGATATAAACGGATTTATTGTAATATTTTATTGGCCACATAAAGTTTTTTTTTTTTTTTTTTTTTTCATATTTGATAAATATATATAGTATAATTGTGGAACAGAGGCGGCGAAAGAAGAGTTGATGGTTATGTGGACGACATTGTTCGGTTCGGGAACAGAGGGAGACGACTCCGCTGCTCGCAGAATAAACCGATACAACGCGAACACAATGGACGGTTGAATCGAGTTTAATTACTAAGATGAGAATCTTTTAGGGCCCCGAACAATAACGGTTCCGTTTTCAATAGCTTCCCCTCTGATTCCCCCCCCCCTCCTAGATATCGGTATACCTTTTGTGTATATACTTGTACATGTAATATATAATGTATATATATATATATATATATATAAATGTAACGGTGAAATAATGATATGAGGGGCTGCTGGATTACTCTACGGCTACGACGAATCACGTTACAATAATACTTATCTACCGCGTTGTCAAACGCAGAAGCTCGCAGCAGCAAGTACCGCTGGCGATCAAGGAGATTTACGATAAAATGATATAAACCTGTATTGTTTTTTTCTCTCTTTAACCTAGATTTTTTTTTTTTTTATCGCGCCCCAGTAAAAAGCTGAAGTAACCAACTCTATACCTACAGGATATATATATATATATAGGCAATAATTAGCGCATTTGTATCGCGCGGCATGTAGGCAGGTACCCGCGAACAAGTTAGAAAATATAGAATTACTTTTAGAAATATTATCATAATATATTACAGGCAGTCGTTGTAGGCACCAGCGTACCTAGTTGTCCCGGAAAAATAGCGCGTTCTCACAAGTAACATTTCGTTCGTTCAAACGCATTCTGTATCGCGGAATCGTGTTCCGACGGAACATACTATCGGTTACATAAACATTCGTTTACCACAGTAAACACAAAACGGGGCACACGTCTAACCACGGGCTGAAATAAAACCTGTCCTCGGGTGTCGGAGTGTTCGCTCGTTCGCGGGTTAGCTCTCGGTGGACGGTCTTGGCACACGTCTCGTGCTCGTACACCACCCGGCCGATGCGCTGCAAGTAGAGATTGGACCTGTCGTACACCACCCGGTGGACGGCGGGCAGCACGTCCCGGCGGGCCGAAAACCCGCGACGCGATTCGGCCACGTTCCGGCGAACCGCGTCGTAGTACCGATGGTCGTACGGTATTTCGGCACCGAGTTCCAGACACCGCCCGTAGTATTGCAGACACTGCATATAGTTGTCCGGGCTTATGATTACGGTTAGCCGGGTGCAGGCGGTGACATTGATTTCCACGCCGCTGCCCGCTGTATCGGACGTCGACGTCAGCGACACCGACGAGAACGCGAAGACGATCGACGCGACGTAGGGTAGGCGGCACATGCTTGCGCGTTTAAAAACAACGCGGCTGTGTGGAATGCATTTTATCGTGGACGAAATCGTAGACAAAAGACCGGAATCCGTAAAAAAACAGTAAATAACATTGAGCGTACAAATAATAATATTCTACTATGGTTATAACAATACCATCTACATAAACTATACAAACTGCATATCTTATACGTATAATTATGTGATGGGGGGAAAAAAAAAATCGATATTTATTATTATTTTTTTTTTTTTTTCAGTCGATCGTAAATAGAACTATTGATTCAATTTGTTTAAGGTCATCCGATTTTCATGCCGTTTAAGGCCGCGGCATACTATTGGTACATATTTTTCTACTTACGGTCGTACAGTTTTCAGTTTACAGTTTGGTCTACGAATGGTCGACTATTTTTACGATCGATTCAGACTGTTCATCTCCGATGTCTGTTAAGTCCGTTCGATTTTGGATTCTATTAGACATGTCTCGGGCTTATTATGATGTGGTCGTTTTATTTTTTAGATTCAGAGAGGAACGGAGATCTAATGTATTTTTAGATTCTGAGCAGAGCGAGGAATGTATTGGTTTTACAATAATGTTTTTTTTTTTTCTGTGGACAGCTTTTCTACCAGTAATTTTGCCCTGGTTTGAAAATCGGAGCAAAAACGGGCAAATAGGTACAACAGTAAACAAAATATATTATAAAAGAAAATGTTTAATACATATGTAATTATTTTACCATAATATGTTGTTATATTTATATATATATTGTTGACGAAGCAACATTATTAATCGAACTCTGCTCAGAATCGTTTTTTCGAAAGTAATGGTTAATTGTTGAGTGCAGATATACATTAAATTTCCCCTCTACGAAAAGTTGTTTACAGCTAAAAAAAATAGAAAGATGGACATACTTCACACTTGGATGAGCCACTGTCGAAGGTGAGAGATTAGGAAGGTTAATCACTTTCCTACTGTAGTAATCTCATCAAATGTGAAAAACCGAAAAAAAACGGGAAAATGTACGAAATATATAAGTAAAATAATATGATTTTTTTTTCCTGAGGACGACTTTTCCACCAGAAATTTCGCTCCAATTTACAACGATAAAACTTTTTCTAAAAGGAAATCTGACTGGGAATGGGCTTTAGGGAGGTTACTTTTCGATTTTTCCTAGAGTTTCCCAGAAAATGTGCAAAACCGGGTAAAATATTAAACAAATATTATTAAAGAAAACGTATAATGCCTATTTAATTATTTCACCATAATATGAAATATATATTGTTAACAAAGCATCAATATCAACTGAACTCCGCTCAAAATCGTTCTTTTATAAACAATGGTTTATTGTTGCTTACAGCTTGGTATACATTAAATTATCTACAACAGTGGCTGCGCCCATCCCCATTATCCTAAGACGTCTTCTTACTTTTGGGGGGGGGGATAGCATTACTAAAAATAATTACGCCAATGAATTAGTTAAAAAAAGATAAAGATAATAAGTTAGATAAAAATAAAATTTTAAACGTCCAAATAAAGTTCAATATTATTTAAATAAATATGTGCAAATATAAATAAAATATTTTTTCTGTATCCTAATTTAAATATCATAAAATTGTGCGGGTCCGTGGGCTACAGCCCACTCAGCCCTCTCCTAAATCCGGCCCTGAGTGAGAAGTTGCGAAGGTAGAGGGGAAATTGAATGTACTTGTATATCTGTACGCAACAATTAATCATTGCTAACAAAAAAACGACTCTAAGCGGAATTCGGATGACAGTGTTGCTTTGTCAACAATATATATATATCATATTATGGTAAAATAATTACATATACATTACATATTTTCTTTAATATTATTTGTTTAATATTGTACCTATTTTCTCGGTTTTCCCATTTATCGGGATAACTCTTGGGAGAATCAAAAAATGACCTCCTTAAAGTGCCACTCCCCAGACCGATTTCTTTTCCGAAAAAGTGCTATGATTGAAAATCGGAGCAAAATTTCTGGTAGAAAAGTTGTCCACAGAAAAATATAAAAATAAAAATGAACATCATTGTAAAACCATGAGCTTTTTCGCTCTATTCAGAATCTAATATTTACATTTTCGTTGTGTATTATAATCGATTTTCAAGTAGCCCGACGCATTGACCCGTCGAACAGTCCACGTTCGTGATGACCACTAATAAGTTATATATATATATATATATAATTTAAAAAATGAAAACACATTTGGCACTTTTTCGCCATTTTTCATGGTTTTATGGCATATTTAACATTGGTCGTTTCAAGAATTTTCCGGTCGTAATAATATGGCGCGTATTTCAATTATTTTTAACGTTGTAACATCCGAGCCCCGACGATGATTACTATAACTATTACTATGTGACCGTGCGCGTATTGTTGGTTAATATATACGCGCACGGCCGGCCGGTCGTCAGTGTTGACGAGTATGCAGACCGGAGAGGAGTAGGAACGGGCGAGAAAGGTGTATTATAATAATTCGCGCGGTTTTTTCGCCCCTCGTCAAGCGTTATTCATTGTTGTATCCGCGGGCACGTCCGACGTCAATCCACACAGACAATTATAATTATATTACTACTAAATCTATACGGGCGTCGGTGTGTATGCGTATGCGTATTACATGCGCGTGTATTATATGTGTGGATATTTACAATAATTCCGCGCTTACCGCCCGTTTTCAAAGCAAATACCCACCGTAATATAATAACGACGCGCGTATATGTGTTTATAACATCACAATGGAAACGGGAGAGAAAAAAAAAAAAAAAAACACACGTTCGTAATAAACGAACACAATTTCTCTAAATAATAAATACGTCTGTTCATTGTACGCCGCGGTCGGCCGGTGGGTACCTGCCTATTATGGGCCGCCGCACTTTCGAAAGAAATAAAGAGAGAAAGAAAACAAAAAAAAAAAAAACAAACGTATTACACAAACGCGAGCGCGCGCGCGCGCTCGCGCCCGCGGCAGTGGCGGCTGTCAAGCGCGAGTTTGGATTATTATTATTATTATTATAAAGATAATGGATATTATATTTTGTTATAAAAGAACACCTAAATCACGGCTATTGTTCAACCCGCGCCGAGTGACACGCGGAAGCCACAGATTATCGACTGGGTGTACGGACACCGCAGCACAGTCCGCGCGCATGACCTGTAATTTACATGTCAGGAATTATTATTGTTACTGCTTTCCGTATACTTGCCCGCAATGTACTAGACGCCGGAGCCGCGGTGCCCCGGCAATATTGTGTGCACACAATACACGTGAAATAGCAGCGATAAAAACTACGCACGTGACGGACGCAGTCGGATTTTACTACGTGCGTGGCGTAGAGACGCACGCGTATCACACGGGCCCGCATGCAGTGGTGTTGGGCGCTCAACCCTCCCGCCCTCCCTCCCTCCCTCCACCCCCCCCCCGGAATTTTTCAAAGTAACACTGCGCATTCATAATATAACAGACTAACTGAAAGCTCAGGTGTTGAAATATTTTTGAACACAACCCGCCCTCCCCGAAAGTTGATCGTGAAGTGGTACTACGCACGGGCGATCCATTTAGTGAAATTCTTCTAAGATTTTTGACGAAATTTATTTTTGATTTTTTTCAATTATTTAGAAACCGTTTAAGGTTTATTTTAATACCATTTTCAATTTTTACCTCTACTTCTCCACTTTAAATGGGTATACTATTTTATTTTCATATAGGGGCCTTCTCCCCACCTTGAATTACGGATTCGCATAGAGAATATTTTTCTGAACATTTCAATACACTCAAGACACAACAGTTATAACATTAATATCGTATCTAGCGTTTGTGTGTTTTAACAGCTTGAAATTTAGACTCGAGCAATAGGAAATATAATATACTTCCTGATATATTATAATAATTTTAGATAATAAATTGACAATATTTCCCTACTCTTTAAGACCCAAACTGTTATAACTTATAAACGATAAATCCGATATTTGTATCTTGCTTATGAAAACGAATAAACAAATATTTTCTGTTTGAATCTGAGTTTAACAGGAGGAGGTGGGGTCCTATTTGTAAACAAAAAGTGTATACTTAATTAAGTTTTAGGAGTAAAAGTAAGTTATATCATTTGTTGTTATTATTAAAGTAAAACAGTTAAAATTATGTTTTACTAGCTGTTGAAACCGATCCCTTTTTGCGTGAAATCCGTTTACACGAATAAAAACAATGTGGAGTTTGATAAACAGTGTACGTTATTTTACACAAGTGTACGAATATAATTTTCAAAGTACCGTGCAATTTAAATATAGTGGTGCGAAGTTTAGTTTTTTGGTTACATTAAAAAAACTAGCATCAGTATAACAGTTGTTAGGGGAATATGCACGAATAACTGATTGGGAAGCGGAGTTCGCGGTAATAGAATTTTTTAAGCGACGGAAAACAACACGCAGAAATATAAACATAATCTAATTATGTAACAAATAAATATATACAGCTATGTTAATTCTACATAATGACATAAATAGGAAGGTATAAATATTCGTGAAAGCGTATAACCTTAGGTTGGCGTACAGCGGGGCGAATGCCGGTGTGCCGAGCAGGGAAGGAGGATCGTGTATACCGGTGAAACTCGTGATTTTATGATCAATATTGCTTTATGATCACATGCAGACTATCCATGTAGACCTTTGTAATGCCTCATTTACGAGGTGTATAAAGAAGTTTACACGAACATTACATCTCATGTTACAATAAAAAATTTAATTTAAATATCGTACACTAGGAACCCTGATTAAAATTGTACAAGCCGTATTGTTACATAGGCTCAAATCGGTACAAAAATATATATATATATATATAGGTAGTTCATCAAAACTATTTTCAAAATTATTTATTGAAAAATTCATAAAATTTGTATTTCTGTAGTTCGATGTCAGTTTCCTATGATTAAGGCGACCAATTCATTTTTTGAAACCAGTAGAACATCCGTGAAGTTGACCCCCTGACTTTCACCGAA